CATTTCAAGAGTGAAAAATATTTGCTTAAATTTGAATGAACGTAAACAACGTATTTTCGATACTATCCATAGGATGTGGAACGTAAACTTCTGCACACGTGCACAGGTGGAGTTGTAATTCCACCAATTGTTTGACATTGTTTTCTTGAAAAATGTGTGCGATAATATTTTGTGAGCTTCAATTAGAATTGTCTTTGTATGTGGATTAAATAATATCATTAATCTATTGCTGATGTGACCATACTTGAAAAGTATATAAGAAGATGTGCTCGATTCGTTTGTCCATCAAACAGTTCGTCAATTTTCTTCAATTGACACGTTTACAGTACACTTTTGATAGTTCGAAGCTGGAAAAATGCTGGGTCAAGGATCTTTCAAACTGCTGCTCGTTGGCTTGGTGGTATCGGCGGTGAGACGACAATTTTAGTTTGAAATTTGTAATTTTAATGTTGCTTGGAATTTTTTTCACTTATAAATTTTGGATCGAATCTTTTACATTCGATTCTTTCTGTGGACAATTTGTGATAATTTTTTCGAAACTCATTTCATTAACTAAAAAATGTCCATTTTAAAGTTTTTCAATTGAAAAAAAACTTCCACTACAAAAATAATTTCCATCGGAAACTTTTACTCGAATGAAAAACAGTTGAAAACCATTACAATCTCATCCGTTGTTCCATTCCAATTTAATCCCTTTGCTTCATTTCCACAGTTCCTGATCGTGGATTTGAGTGGAGCACCATCTGGGGGAAACGGTAAGAATTGGATAAGCTCCATTTCTTTATCAAGTTTCACTCACACAGCACACTGCGTCACTGTACGCAACATTTTCTTTCGATTCAGTTCACTGATCTACAATTTTTTCACCTTTTAGTAAACGAAAGAGACATAAATGGAGAGACAGCTCTGCATAGAGCTGCTGTGATTGGTAATTTTGAGTATTTATGTTTTAAAAAATGCTTTGTTCAATCTACTTCATTGGTCTGCATTATTTTTCAGGTAATGTGAAGGAAGCTGAAAAACTCATCTACAATGGAGCCGAAGTTGATATTTTAAATAATTCGGAGGAGACACCTCTTCATTATGCCGCTTTCCATGGTAATGTTGAATATTGATTTTGATTGAATAAAAGATTGATTTGATCTCTTTTTTCATCGATCTGTGTTATTTCTCAGGTCATAAGAATGTTGCTGAACTTCTCATCCGAAAAGGAGCCATCGTTGATTATAGAAATAATCTCCATGCGACACCTCTTCATTTAGCTGCTTCCAATGGTAACTTTGAACACTTCTCATGAAATCTCGTGACACCATTCCCGAACACAGCAATCGTGTAATGTGTAAGCTATGTGTACACGATATGGTAGGATTCAATTGCATATCGGATTTTTCGGCCACACCATAAATCGTGTACACATAGCTTACATTACACGATTGCTGTGTTCCGGAATGGTGTCCATAAACGTTTCTACGCCTTAAAAATGCTTTCTACGAGATTTTATGAGTTTCACTAAACTCCATAGAAAATTCGCGCTCGAGCATAGTAAGCGTTGACACTAAGAACGGTTGGTCTGACGCTCTGTGTGTAAATCACACACAGTTCGTTATAGTGGCCGCGCTCGAAGAGTGTGCAAAGGAGAAATAATACATACGTACGACGCTCATCTGACACCTCGTCACACAGATCGTTCTCATATAAGAGCGCCGTATGTATGTATTATTTCCCCTTTGCACACTCTTCGAGCGCGTCCACTATAACGAACTGTGTGTGACGAAGCGTCGCGCGCATATAGTAGTGTCGTTCTGCCTTATACTGTATACACAGAGCGTCAGACCAACCGTTCTTAGTGTCGACGTTTACTATGCTCGAGCGCGAATTTTCTATGGAGAAATAAAAGATTGACTTGATTTTATTCATCCGTCAAAATTATTTTTTAGGTCAAAAGAATGTCGCTGAATTTCTACTCAGTCAAGGAGCGAATGTTAATAGTGAAAATGAGATGAAAAACACACCTCTTCATTTAGCTGCTTTGTATGGTAATGTTGATTATTTGTTCTCACTAAATAGGTAGACTGTTTTATTTTTTTCATCGATCTGTGCTATTTTTCAGATCGCAAGAATGTCGCTGAACTTCTCATCCGTAGAGGAGCAAATGTTAATGCTAAAAATAGTTCGAATCAGACTCCTCTTCGAGTAGCTATTGACAATGGTAAAGCTGACTAAATAAGATATCGATTTGATCTTTTTCATTGATCTGTATTATTATTTTTCAGGTCACAATGATGTTGTTGGACTTTTTATCGGTAAAGGAAAGAAAGTTAATATTGCAGATCAATTTTAATAGATTCAATTGGCTACTAACAATGGTAATGTTGCATATTTTCTTCACAATATAAGAAATTGATTTGATCTTTTTGATCGATGTGTATTTTTCAGGTGACGAATAGCTGAATAATCGGATGATTTCCTTCGGTTCCCCTTTTCGATTGCAGTGTAGAATATTAATTTCAAAACATTTTTTTGTCCATCTATGACCATACCAACCAATATTGTTGCTTTGTTCGACCATCGATTATTATTCTGTCAAAAAACAGCTCAAGTTATTTGTCTTTTTAATTGCTTACGATATAGGTATTGATATGGAGTGGATTTTTTTCATTAAATTTTTGTGTTCTAACGTGCATCCGTGCTAGTTTTGAACGCGATTTTTATGCCGTGGGCAAAATCCAAGAATGAAAATAAATTATACAGAATAAATGATTAAAAAAAAATCTAAATTTCAATCTGGTTTGAACAGTGTTGGTTGCTCTTGTTCACTTTCGAGTGAAAGAAGAATTTGGTTCACTCTAGAGTATAGAGTCTACGCGGATGGGTTCAATTTTTCTTGATACGACGTCAGACGTCAATGCAAAAGGAACTCTTTTTCTTGATTATAATCTACTGAAGATTTACGCACGTAAAGTGATAATTGCATACAAAATCCCACTTCATATATATAGAGCACCAACTTCACCCCATTTCATTTTCTAGCCAATATGTGTACAAACCATAGGTGTAACGAATAAATAATAAGTAATAAAAGATTTTATTACTTATTCATTTTATGTGATTATTCATTTATTCGTTATTCGTTCTTACTCGCGAATAAGAACGAATAATTATTCATTTATTCATGCAAGAAACGAATAGAAATGTAATAAAAATTGAATAATATATGAAACGAATAAGAAGTGAATAAGAAACGAATAAGAAAACGAATGAAAATTGAAAAAGAAGTTGTAAGAAGTAATAACTATTACAACTTATTCACGAATAAATGAATAATTATTCGTTCTTATTCGCGAATAAGAACGAATAACGAATAAATGAATAAATATGACAAAAGTAATGAATAAAAAAACGAATAATTATTACAAAAATTAACACCTATGGTACAAACTTAGAGACACTAAATTGTTGGTGTTATCAAACTGCAAACATACGTTTTCGGATGGTTTAGCATCTCACAGAGAGCGCAGAGTTTGTGTGTAGTCGATGTAGCTGTACGCATTGACGCACGCCACTTATACAGTGACTTGCGTCGTCGATATGCTCGGATATATCCGTGCATACGAAATGCTGAGATGCTAAACCATCCGAAAACTTATGTTTGTCGAACTATACAACTTTGCAAAAGACAATGTGATCGTTATTCAGTTGAAATAAATGAATTATTAGAAGATTTGCTCACTGCTTGAAACCTACTCCATCTTACTCACACAAATACGAATACTTTTTCCAATATGAAGTCTGTGAAACATACAATACTCTCAATGTCACTCATAGATATAGGTTGTGTTGGTGCAAAATGCGACAGTGGCAGAATTTCTTTCTGTTTTATGTAACCCAGATTCTAGGTACTTATTTTCGTGTGTACATTCATTGAAATTAAAAGAATAGTTGAGAAGCTGTCTCTTTTTCTATGGAAAGTGTTACTAAGTACGGCTCTGGTTTCGTATGAGATTCGCTTATGTCTTTTTTCAACGTATTCAGTATTCACCTTATTTTGTGATGTGAAGTAAATATGATTCCGTACTCTAAAGCCTTTGTGAGGTACTTTACACCACAAAAATGTAGCTGGCATGGAATATCACCTCAAAAGTGCACACAAGCAATTCGCGCGAGAAGCTGGGGAATATTTGCTCATATACGGAATAAACATAGAGCACTCTGTATTGGAGTAAACGTGTGTGAGTTCACTCCAGTTCAGAGCGGTAGTTCAACTTACTAACACATGCGCAAGCTTGGTAGTCACTCAGTAGGGGAAAAAAGACGCATACATTTATTTCATAGCACGCTGGTTTGTACCACACTGGAATAAACGTATTCACATTAATCCAATACTGAGTCACTAGTAAGCTTGCGCATGTGTTAGTAAGTTTAAAAACCGCTCTGAACTGGAGTGAACGCACACACGTTTACTCCAATACAGAGTGTTCTATGTTTATTCCGTATAGGAGCAAATATTCCCCAGTTTCTCGTACGAATCGCTTGTGTGTACGTTTCATTTGCATAAACAATCAAATTTCGGTGTACCACTTATTTCTGATTGATTGATCCGTTTTTCGACTTCATTTCGAACAAAATTGTAACAAATAGGCTTTATTACACTACGATGATGATTTCAAAAAGTCATCTTTTTAGTCGATGATCGATATAAACCTTTCCTCATCAAATCAGAATGATGCCAATGCAATGAGGACGCAGTCATTATTTTTTTTGCGTTAAAAACAGTCCGATGCACAGGGAATAGGGAACGCGTAAGATCGATTTGCTTTTTTAAGTTTGATTGTTTCTTTGTTTTTTCCAAAGCATTTTTTCATAGCAGCTTCCGACGTTTTGAACATTTATTGCAACATCTGACAATTTTTTCTTCACATATCTGGATTTTCAAGTTTTCGCACGTCTACGTAGGTCGAGAAAACTCAATTGAATATTGATGCGTTGAGATAAATCAAAAGTTTATTATTTCTGGAGCTTTATTCAGTATTTTATTGCATCAAATTTATGGCGACACCAGAATAAAAATGGAAATACAAATGAAAAAAAATCAAAATTATACATAAAATCAAAGTTAGACTGTTTTTGTTACGATTGGAGTAAACGATAAAGTTAATTGAGGGGAAACTTATGCGGTATTACGGCATGTCGATGTTGCTCCGATGAAATGCCCTAGCAAAGGTTGTTTATCAATTTGGATCAAAGCACCACTAGTTTCCATTCTTTGCCTGCTTTTCTTTAGCTTCTTTTATGATTTCGGCCACATCTGAAAGACCTAAATTTCAAATGAATCCTTTGATTCGAATGCTATTTTGGTTTTTCTTATAAGGATTGAGACATACTCGATTCGGCAAATTCAAGCGGAGTATTTCCAAACCGGCCCATAACGTCGATTTCAGCCCCATTTTCAATGAGAATTCTGGCAACGTCTGGGTGGTCTATATGATACATGCAATAAGATGAACAGACTGAATTAGTGTTTGGTTTGGTTTCAAACTAAGCATTCCAAATGAGCAAAATTCATTGAGCATTGATCAGTGAACAAGTAAGTAAATATAAATCTTGTAAACGAAAAATAAATAGAAATTAGTAGTCCATTACCAAACCTCGCAGCAAAATGTAGTGCTGTATATCCATAAGAACTCCTAGCATTAACATCGCTTCCTTGTTTGATGAGTTCTCTGACATCATTTATGTTTCCTAAATTGTAAATTGAATTAAATGAAACGAAATTAAACGATTGTTTCGATTCAGTAAGATTTCAGAAACTTACCGTGCACTGCAGCCAAATGTAGAGGTGTATATTGAAATCCATCTTTGGTATTGGCGTTATTATTATCGGTGTCATCGCTATCGTCACTACTATCACTGTCCTTGTTTTCTTCGGCGATCTTTTCCTTGAGCATTCTGGCGATTCTGGTTTCACCTGCATCCAACAATGAGATCAAAACAATTTTATCAATTCAATTTACATGAAAACTTGAGCAGCAGTCTTTGAAAATGTGTTAATTCCTAATACCATGATTGATAGCTGTTTGAAGTGGTGTTTCTCCGCCAGTGTTTATAGCATTGATATTGGCACCGCTATCGATGAGAAGTCGCACCACATCCTCCTTACCTGTTTTGTAAATGAATCAAAATTGAAAAGTGGCTTTGGTTTTGTTGCATAAGTTTGGATAATTACTATAAACTATAGCCATGTGCAATGGCGAAGTTCCTGAATCGTCTGGTGCATCGAGATCGGCATCATGTTCAATGAGCATTTTAGCGATGTCAACACTGCCTGGATTGTGAATAATAAAATTTTAAACGAATTGTTCTAGTTTGGACAAAACCTTTCGAGCAGTTACCTCTCCATGCAGCCTTTAGAAGCGCAGAATTTTTCCATAAATCCCTTGCATTCACATCGGCACCGTGTTCGATGAGGACTTTAACGACATCTGCACTACCTGCGATCGAGAAAGAAGATGGAAAAATCATTAACCGTGTGCAAATATTTCGTTTCAAGGTGAAAATCAATGACAATTACCACTCATAGCGGCTCTGTGAAGCGGTGTATTATTATGAATGTCGTGTGCGTTGACATCCGCACCCTGTTCGATGAGGTTTATCACTCTATCTGCATCACCTAGATTGAGATTCAATTGAAATCAGAAGATTATTCTTGGTTGAATCGAAAATTACAGAATACTTCTAAAAGATATTATTTACCCATAGATGCTGCTCGGTGCAATGGTGTATATCCGCGATAGTCTCTAGCATGCAGTTGGGCGTCTTTTTCTTCAAGAATTGTAGCGACTTCGGTGTTACCTGTTTAGAATGATTGAATTGATTTTAGCGAAAGTTTTTAAGAACGAATTTGGATCAATTTACCTTTAGCTAAAGCCAAATCGTGTGGTGTTTCACCAATACTGTTTTTAGCATTGAATCTGGCGCCTTTTTCAAGGAGAACTTTAACTGCATTGGTTTTACCTTGAGTAAGAATGTATAAAATTAAGATTGGCTGTGTTTAAATCAGAGATGGAGTAAATGTATATCAATTCGTTGAATTTACTGTACTCGGTACAGTACGGTATATTTACATTGATTTACCTTTGCGTTAAATAACGCGTCCGCTCTCACTAAAATATGAGTTGACGCATGTGCTCCGCGCGTTCAACGCAAAGGTAAACGTTTAAGTATATATCGATACACATTTCCATACACTTGCGGTAAACGATCAACCATCTCTGGTTTAAATCACGAAATTTGAATGTTTAAGGATATTGACAAGTACCAAAGAAAGCGGCATGGTGAAGCGCTGTGTTTCCTGATTCGTCTGTTGAAATATTAGCACCATGTTCAATCAGAACTCGGATGATATCGCCATTATCTGTGTTGTGAATAGATCGACGATTGTCAACATAGAATGAATATAGAAAAATTTCTTTGGTGTTATTTATTTGGTAGAAGTCCAGGTATTTACCGGAATGAATAGCACTTCGAATCGGTGTCCATCCTTCACTCTCTTTTGCATTGACATCGACACCCTGTTCGAGAAGGATTCCAACGATATCTGCGTTGCCTGGAAGAGAATTCAAATACATTTTTAAATCATGATAACAAATAATTATTACGCGTCAATGTGTTTTCGTGGTATGGTGTGTGATAGGCTATGAAGAAACAAATCACAAAATTTACCTTTTTCGGCGGCCAAATGAAGTAAATGCAAATCCTTCAGATCATCCACACTTTTAGCACAATTTTTCAATAGCATCTTAGTGCCATTTGCATCATCTGTTACATTGTTTCGAAAATAGAACAAAATTTGAATATATACGACGAATGATTGGCTAATTCGAGATATTGTATGATCAATGGAGGCAAATTCATTTCAAAACAGTGTAAATTAGAATATATGAAGATTAAAAAGCGTCAATGTTCAACATTTACCATTTTCAACAGCAGTTGTAAGCGCAACAATCCAATCTTGTTCGATGTGTACGCCTTTTTCAGCCAGTGCATCGATGACACTTGAACTAGCTAAAAATTCCAATTTGAGAACAAAGATGATTTTGTATGAATTTATTTCATGCTCAAGACTAGGGGGATTTGACTACGTGAAAACTTGTAAAAAAATGATATAAACGCGCACGAAATTGTTACATTCACCAAAGAACTTGCATGATTCCACTCAGTTGACAAGTTCTGTATTAAAACAACATGCGCGAACTTGTGCGAGTTCGTGTGCAAACATGAAGCTGGACGACGCGCACAATCAGTCGTTCCATTTATATCTGGATTAACTTTTTCTTCCAACACTTTCTCCAGCTCTTTAAAAATATTTCCTTTGTCCATTTTATAATTATACAAATCTTTGAACTTTTGGAAAGGATGTGAAGAATCTTTATACACGTAAACAACCAATTTTAGGTTTGAAACGCGTTTTAGTTGTCAAATAACAACTTGAAAAACGCGCAAAACCATAAACAAACTTGTGTAAACTTGTGACCGTGCGCGTCAGTACGTACAACGAACGCGTCGAACTTCCGCGAATCAAGCAAACTGGCAGAAAACATGCTGTACTCGTAAGAGTTAAATTCCCCTAGGCTCAAGAACATATCTAGCATCTAATCCAAATTAGTCTTACCATAGTAATTACGTGTAATGCAACCAAAGAGAGCTGGTCCCCAATTCTCTTGCGCTAAGTACAAATCTGCACCATTCTGGATCAAGAGTTCAGTTATTTCGTCATTGTCTAAACACAATTTATAAAAAGGTATTAAAAATTGGTTCGTCGAATTCAATTCAAGTGTTGAATGAAAGTTTCAAATCAGCTCACCTTTCTTCATAGCAAGCATAAGTGCCGAGTTCCCGTCGCTATCTTTAATGTTGACATCCACTGATTTGTTTATCAAACACTCGACCATTGTCTTTGAGCCTATGTTTTACGAACAGAAATGGGAAAAAAAAATAATCAAAGTAAATTTGAATTGGTTCCATAGATCAATCGTGGATTTATTATTTGAATTTTGTTTTTGAGCACAAAATGACACAAATATTGAATAATTAAAAACAAAGTTTTTGTTTTTAATTATTCAACAATCGTGGATTGTGTTATTTTTTTAAATCTTTTTTTAATGCAAATTTGTATAGATGAATTGAGATTTTGAATTTTATCCTTTTTTTTTTTATCGAACCGAATATAACTTACCAGCTTCAATCGCAACGTGCAGAGCTGTTTTTCCAGACTGATCATCCATGATAAAACTCGGAACACATTCGTCATGACCATGTTCAGCTGCGTCAAGTACAGTAAATCCGTCCTCGGCTTTAGCGTTAATATCAGCGCCATTTTCAATGAGAAACCTAGCCACGTCTTGTTGGTCTATACGATAAATGGAAAGTAAGAATTTCGAGCATTGGGAATGAAATGAGCAATGAATAAGTAAGTAAGTATATAAAAAACATTGTATAAAGGGGAAACAAGTAGGAAATGCTGGTCC